GTAGTTTTTGATAAAAATGTGATTTTCTCACCTTTTTGCTCAAAATTATACATTTTTATGAAACCTACCTATATTCTAGTGTTGATAAAAAAAGAATGCTTTAAGCTAGAATAAAACAGATTTTTTTGTTTAAAAGTAGAGGCTCTGATCTTTATTTTGGTGTATTGCATATTCAAAGACTCATACAGCAAAATATACTGTAGGCCATCAAATCTGAGTGAAAATCATCAAAATCGCTGGCGGTGGCTGGCAACTTTTTTCAAAAATGCTGGCGGGGAAAGAGTTAATGAAACCATTAGTTTAGTTTAATAAAAGATGAAATACCATGATAAGTGCATGTATTTCTTGTCATGTCACGAGTATTTCGTATTGAAACAGGAAGTTGGAGCTGGTGTACACTGAAAATAATGATTCATTGAATTTACTAAATTTTTTAAGGTAAGTGGTTGCAATCAAATTTTTTTATAAAATGTAGCTAAAATAAAAAATTTTTGTAGTATCATTTTTTTCAGTGTAGACATGGTGTAAAACTAAAACTTTAATGAAGTTGAAATCAAATCAAATACAATATAAATATTACATTAAAATTTTAACTCGAAAATTAGAAATGTTGCCTTGGCTATTAACTGAAACAAGTTTAATTTGAATCACTAAAATTGATAATTAGAAAAATAAACATCAAATTTAAACAAACTAATACACAAAAAACTGAAATAAAATAAAATTAATCCTAAATATGAATATAAACAACTAATAAAAATGACAAAACTACATTCAAAAATTACTGTAGTTGAAGTTATACAAGTTGAAATAAAATAAAATACAATATAAATATTACATTAAAAATTTAACTCGAAAAGTAGAAATGTTGCCTTGGCTATTAACTGAAACAAGTTTAATTTGAATCACTAAAATTGATAACTAGAAAAATAAACATCAAATTTAAACAAACTAAAACAAAAAACTGAAATAAAATTAAATTAATTCTAAATATGAATATAAAAAACTAATAAAAATGACAAAACTACATTCAAAAATTACTAAAACATAAATTAAAACTAAACATGTAAAAATAAAAGCTAATTTAAAATATTAATAAAAACTAGTAATAAATATAGTATATAAATAATACTAAAATAACACTGGGGGCGATGATTACTGAACAGCCACTACCCTTAAAAAAAAAAAAAAAATGAATGTTTAGTTTTCCGTAACAGCTATGAATAATAATGAGCCAATTGCTACTCCTTAGAAAAGGGAGGGAAATTCAAGAAAGAATTTCATTGGATTAAAATTTGAAAATGCCTGTAAAATGTTTACGTCTGCTATGTGTACTTCATCTCTATTTTTGGCTCCTTTTACTAAAAAAATCTGTAAAAGTCTGTAGATTATAAATGTGTACTTCTGCTAAAAGTGATTTTGTTCAAGTTTATGAGTACAGCAGCAAATAGATGATGTTAACACATGCACTACAAATCACCTATTTAATTTCACAGGGGTTTATTCTATTCTACTGAATGTTAAAGATTTAGGTAAACATGTTAAACATATTGTTAAATATATGCCTAATTAAATAAAACCTACACGTAATACACATAAATATGCTAATCTTCTAACCTACAACACTCTAAGTACAGAGGTCAACTACAGAGAATGAGGGATGAAAAGAAGCAAAGAAGAAAGAGAGAGAGGAGGAGAGAGCTCAAGAGAATGAGACTGATGTCACTCGAGTCACGACAGCAGTGAGTTCAGAGAGAAATCTGAATGAACATTAGTTCAGGCTTCAGAATATGACATGCATGACTGAAATCGTTTCAGTAATCGATGTTAAATCACAAACACACACACATTCAAACACACTCATTTGTGGACATGCACAACTAAACACACATGCATATGTGTGCATACACACTCACTCACACACACACACACACACACACACACACACACACACACAGTCGGAGCACATAAAGGGATTTGTTTGGGTAAGTTAATTGTACACAGCGCGGTCTTCATCGCTTCACTGAGGCGAAACATATTGCCTCCACTGTCAAAGAGCTTTCATCTGTTATTGCTGGATAAATGCTAACACAAAAGACACACACACACAGACACATACACACGCTCATTTTCATTCTTGCGGGTCTTGATAGAGATGGACAGATGACAGGTCTGTCTTCCCACATTGTTTAATTGACCGATAGCTTGTGACTGGAGTCTGGACAATGACACACAGCAACACACACTCTCATAAGCGGCATTATGCAATCCTATTACAGACCGCCTAGTGTTACCAGCTTTAGAGCAGAGATACTAGAGATCAGAGTGTGCAGATGTAGACACACACACATTTCACAGTGCATCTGTCATACAGTGAAGCGCTGCAGTTCTGGACTAGTCTCCAGTTTCCTGATGTGCAGGAGCTGTCCAGTGAAATCAGGGAGCTGTCCACCACAGCTGGTGCTGAAACACACTTAAAGAGCACTGAAATACCTGGAGAAATTTGCCTGTTAGCATGCCAAAAAACGTTTGCCACACCTGCTAATGGCCGATAACTTCAGCCAGGAAACTATATGTGCATTATTTCATTATAAACCAGGTAAAACAAATTGGGGAAAGACATTAATTTAATTTAATTTAATTTAATTTAATTTAATCAAATGATAAACAAATCAATAAAGAAATATCACTAATACTATTCAAGTATTTCATAGTAATATAAACAACAACAACAACAACAATAATAATAATATTATTATTATTATTTAACAGCAGTACAATTACAATAGTAATATTTTTTAAAGGGCTTTTATTTTGGTGGAAAACCACAGGGAAACTTCTCATTTGAAATGCTTCTCTGCACTTATTTTGGGTCCAAATGGTGTAGTTACAACTTCCACCGGCAGGGTAATAATGAATCACAGTCATAACTAAGTCAAAGGTCCAATTACACAAATGTTTTTTTTTCTAGCAGAGATTTTCTATGTTGGTTTTAAACGCACAAAACCCTCTTAAATTAGAAAAAAATTATTGTTTAAATCTCTCTAAAAGGACTCCATAGGGTATGTGTACATTTGCCCCATATACACCGAAAAACCACTATATCCGCACATACTTCAAAATTATGTGCACACAGATACCCATAAAAGAGGATGTAGATGGCAAAACAAATACTACTTCCTCCATTAGAAAGACGTTATAAATTGGAAAATGCAATAGCACTGTGTTTTCAAATGTGTGTGTGTCTGTGTATACATGTGATCTGAAGCAAACAGGAGAGAAACTGTTAATTTTACTCTAATTGGAAGAAGGAGACCAATTACAAATTAAGTGTGGTCTCGAGGGATCTTACTGGTTGTTACATTCTTTGTTCTCAGGAGAATCGATGCTCTTTTCTACTGAAACTAAAGGAAATGAGAGAGGAGAAACTATCAGCCTTAGGACTCTCACACACACACTAAGGAATACAATTATCAAAGCCTTTTATACGTTCACTAGTGTTCAAACAGACTGTTTGGGGTGGGTATAATATTTTTGAAAGAATTCTCTCATGCTCAGTAAGGCTGCATTTATTTGATCAAAAACACAGTAAAAACTGAAAAACAGTGAAATGTTATTACAATTGAAAATAACTCTTTTCTATTTGGATATAATTTGAAGTGTAATGTATTCCTGTGATGCAAAGCTGAATTTTCAGCATCATTACGCCTTCAGAAATCATTCTAATATGCAGTTTTTTGGGGGGATTATCGTATTCTATAAATACAAGCTTATAAATTTAGCATATAGCTTTCCGTTTAACATTTTACAGCCACAATATTCTAAAAAATTTTTTTTTAAAGATGGCTAATGTCTCAAGATGTTATTAAAATCTGCATTTCTACTTTTTTTTTTCCTGAATCAAGCTAACATTAACCAAAACATCAGGCCTGTAGTTATATCTGTGGCTTTTAAATAGTAATCCTAAACACATGTTCCTTCAGGGGATCAGAACAGAAACAAACTCATCAATCTGCCAATTCATACATGTTTAAAATTGTGAAAACTGACTGCTGATGGGAAAACACCCTGGTGTTCTACAGGAGACACATCTATAGGGACTTGCCGGTGGTTTCCTGGCATCATTAGATCTTTCATTTCTAGAAAGCTCTCAAAGGATGGAGGCAATACATCACTCTGAGCTCCTCTTTAACCTGTTTCTCTATGTGAGCGTGTTTGAATTATTGGACACATGCCATGCTTGTAGTCAGAAAAGGTGTGTGGGAATTTTTCATCTCTCTTTCTCACACTCTCACAATGCATTTAAATGGGATGTTTAGTAAAGACACCGGCCTGCCTGCCTGATCTCAATACACGGCCCTAAAAATGACAACCACCTCCAAAAACAGCATTTATGAGAGGGGGAGAGAGAGGAAGAGCGAACAGACAGCAAAACACATGGAGAGAGGACTATTTGTGTGGATCTGAACAAATATGATTATGAGTTTTGATCTACAGACATACTGTATGTGAAAACCATGAAAGTGAGACAACGGCTTTAGGCATGTATATATATATAAAAGCGTCTACCAAATGCACAAATGTAAAAGTAAAAAGGGTGATTCTAAATATTTGTGGCAACTATAAGAAAAGCAGTAAAATACAATAAAAATATAGTAAAATCTAATAACATTATATAAATATAACATTTAATACAATAAAAGTATAGTATAATCCAAAAATATGATATAAAAGATCATATTTTAAGGAAATTTAAAGCAAAATTCTAGAGTATGAATCATTTTGAACTGATTCAATAAAACTGACACAGAAGTGAATCAAACAAGTTGCAGGTGCAAATCTAGTATACTGGCACAGTTATAAAGGCAAAAAAGTGAAATTCATCACAATTCTCATAATGTTGTTTGATTTTATATTGCCAACAGAATAATATCTAATACAGTATGAATATTTAATATATTGCCCAGCCCTAGTATGCAAATGTGTAGTTTTAATCTTACCAAGTCGAGGATCAAACTGTCTCATCTGTACCTCCTCCACACAGTCTGCAGGAAACCAACCGGTTCTTCCTTTCACCGTCCCTTCCCAGAAACCCCCTTCTCCTATACTTAACACTGAGAGAGAAAGAGAGATGGAGCGAGACATTAATTATCATCTCATCAACACACATTTGGTTGATGATCACACATAGATCCCCATAAAAGTTAGCTAACATCCTAGATGATAATACCTGGATTAAAAATAAATAAATACAAAATAAATAAAAGTTAGTAATTGACAGAATTTGCATCAATTGGAAAATCAATTATACAAAGCAAACACTTTATTTTTTTATTCTAAAAATGCAAAAACAACAACAAAAAAACTATATATATATATATATATATATATGTATATATGAAAATAATTATAATCAACTTTACACTTTATAAAAACACACAAACAAAGTCTATGATACATTCTCATTTAGATGTGTGGTGTGTGCATGAATGTGATCTCAGCACGCATTCAAACATCTTTTTCCTTTCGGAAATAAGCCTGAAGAGGGAGAACAGATAGATGACGTGAGTTGAATGACCAGTGGGATCTGAGACGGTGCAGAACATTGTGTTCAACCGGAAACTGATTCATCCAGTGATATTCTACACTAACTGAATAAACACATGTGGTGACCACACCAGACACACTAAAAACATATGCAGTCACATACAAGTCCTTCAGCATTTAGTTGCTAGGATACTGCAGTTTAAAAGCAGTGTGTGTATGAGTTTTGTGTGTGTGTGTTTATCAAAAGCGCAAGGTGTGCAAAAAGGGCAGGTGGGCAATTTTGTGGTACTCCAAGAATTCCATAAATCAATAAGCAACAATGAAAGCGTCTGCTGTGTATTGTACACATACACAGGGTTTCATTCATGCTGAAGCAGATCTTTAACTGCAGATGGCATATAAGAAACCCCGCTTACACAGAGCACATGACAAATGCAAAGCACACACTTTCTCTCAGTGCCTCTTAGACTTAGTGAAGTACTTGTTCCCCCTGCTCTTGTAGTGTAATCCATGATGAAAGTGTTGCTTGATGGTCTACAAGGCCAACTGACCCTTCACTAAGCTCCACCCCCTCAGTTACTGTTGCTCACTTACAGAACATCCCATAGGAATGAACTGGAGATTTCCATTAACAGAATTCAAATTATTTTAATGTAGAATTTACAGAGAAGAAACCCATTTCAGTATAAAAACCTGCCAGATGGCAACAGTTGCCAATGCATGATTGGTCAGTAACATTTTTAAAGGTGTCCTATTATGTCCTTTATGAAGCCTTGCTTTGTTTTTTTGGGTGTACTACAATAGGTTTTCATGCTTGATTGTTCCAACATATTTATTTTTCACATATTTTACATGATTGTAGAACCACTATTTCCAGTCTGTCTAAAAAAACACCCTGTTTAGTTCCTGTTTCGATGAAACCCCTCCTTCTGAAATATGAAAGGCGCTCTGATTGGTTGTGTGTTGTGATTGGTTGTGTGTGTGAATGTGTTGTGATTGGCAAATCACTTAAGAGTGTGTTCCAGAAATGACACGTCCCTTACCATAAGAGTTTAATCTGCTCAGCTGTAAATATGAATGATGCCGTCAATTTTGACATTCCAATTTGAGCCCAATCCAGTGGTATGTTTTTTTTTCTTTACAGTCTATGGTCTTTAGCACAGCTTAACCAGGCCTCGCCCCCTTTTTTTTGCATATTCCGTGGGTGGGAATTATTTAAATGACTGACATTCCCCGGGTCTCCATTACAGATTTGCGCAAAACTTTTCAATATTTTATAAATGTCAATAAAAAACATTGCGAATTGATGTTTCCATTAACCGATGTTATGCAACTAAAACATAATTTTTCCCTCTCGCAACAAGCCATGGCGACGGATGTTGGTATAGGTTTACGTATATTGCAGCCACCGCACTAGCCATTATTTCTAATCGAACGAGATGAAGACATGTATCTTTAGCAAAGCAGCATGGAGAGCCACTTCTGGGACACTTCTGAAACACGCCGCGGCGGGGCTGGTATAAACACAAGCATTGACTAGAGTGGGTGCGATCAACTCCGGTGGCCGTGTCAAAGCCGTAATGCAGTGTAAATGAGGGGTTATACAAGCATTAATGGCAAGGAAAGCCCTTTATACTTGAGAGTGGCCACGTATGAGGTGTTTCTTGGAAGTTATAGTACATTAAACAATGATCATGCAACTTTTACGTATGCCTGTTTCCATTGCAGTTTTGCAATATATTTTGAATTGCCTGAAAAACCACCTCATCCAAGTGTAAAAACTTTTTTGCGATATATGGGAGCTTTTGCAAAATTGACGTGTTTCCATTAGGCATATTTTCAAGTGGCAATTTTAATTTGCGCAATTTGAAGGGTAATGGAAACGTGGCTATTGTGAATTCACAACATCCAGAAGTGTGCTGTAGTCTGAACGAGCTGTATGTTGTAGTTCTTGAAACGTGTTTTGTGTTAAAGAGTATATCTCTCCCTTTGGACCTAGAGCTTTGTAACCTTGCAGATGTTTTTTATGCTCAAACAGCAACATTAAACAAGAACTAAAGTTAAAAAAATTGAAAAAGCATATGACGGGGCTTAGCAAAAGTTCAATTGATCTGTACAAACCTTCCATCACTCCTCAACACACACACACACACACACACACACACACACAATTTTCTCTTGAGAAAGACTCAAAACCTAATCATCTAAATACAACCAATTATACTGCATTTTTAATCAGGAGATTTGAAATTCTGTGAGTGGTTTTTAGTGATGATCTAGCTGGCAGCACAGCCATTAGAAAATTATCACCTCAGTGCTACTGACTGCGGTTAGGCGCGCACACACACACACACACACACACAAATGGATGCTTCTGCTGCCTATGTCACAATTAAACACTTGTGTAAATGGGGCTCATCTTGTAATAAATTCAGGAGGAAAAGAATGCACATCTCATCAGTGATGCTTCTCATTTGAACATTTTCAATATTTGAGTCCAATCAAATCAGTATAATGAGTATTTGTGGACTATACGTATTGCGTAGAGGGGACATTTCATGGAAAACAGGATTTTCCTCACTCTGAAATAAAGGATTTTGATGTGCTGTCAACGTAATCTAATGTTCATAACACAATCCACCCATAACCCAGTCCACATAGTTATGGATATTAGGCGGACAAATTGGGCATAATGCATGAAAAGAGCCAAATTTAGAAATATAAAGGTTCACAGACAGATTTGCTGGATGTGTGAGGAAACAACTGACCTGAATAACACAGAAGAGTACATTTTGGTAAGAAGCCAGATCTTTAACATATGAAAATATGAACATGAAATAAATAGTTGAATTCAAAATGCGTCACCATTATATATATATATATATATATATATACACACAGTATATATAAAATAAAATATATATATACACACACATAATTTATCTATTTATAATATATATATATATATATATATATAACCAAGCCTTTAAGTTTACAGTTTAGTTAAATTTTAAGCTCAAGAGCGAAGACAGAAATTGTCACATTAAACTGCTGTTTTTGGTTTAAGAAGCTAACATTACAAAAAATAAATGCCACAAATTTACTTATAGAATATTTAAACATAAGTGACGTGTGCAATCCTTTTGATGCATCCTGAAGGATCAACTCATCCTCTTTTAACCACAAAGACTTCAAAGAACAGCATGTCCGTACAGATGTTTTTAGGCCTGCGCGTGTCTTACATAACCGATCACTCAACGGACTCGCACAAGTGTGTTTACAAAGTACCAGGAGGGGGCCCGCCGGACCTCTCCAGCCCTGCCGCGTGCCCGGACACGCTTGGCATATTGGAAACAGGCCTTCACACATACTGGCAAACGGCACCATGGGAGAAACACTCGCCAAGCTCTCAGTGTCAGTCCCTGACCATCAACCAGCAGCCGACTAAGGCACACTGCCACGGCGAGCTCTTGACAGAAGGACCGTTGTTTCTGAGGAGAAGGGCCTGAAGTGTGTGTGTGTGTGTGTGTGTGTGTGTGTGTATAAGCATACAGGAGAGTGTTGCTTCTCGGATGCTGAGATACCATCGCAACTCTCTATTCTTATCAGCTTCAAAGACCCATTGAGTCTTAAAAAGGATGAAAGGAGAATGAGTAATTCAGCTAGCATGTAACTTTTCAACTGTGCACAATAAGAGCTCAACAAATACAGACACTGTGTAATGAGCGTGATTCTTTAATTTCTGTTCAGCTTAAATCAGATGTGAATGAATGTAGCTGGATATTGCGAAGGGCTTTCTGTTAGGACAGAAGAGTCTCAGGCTATTGTTCATTCAATCATTTACAGCTCATTCACAGGTAAATGACACAACTGGGCCAAATCACACATGAACGAGACGGGAGAGACAAACGCTCACAAAGAGATGTTAAAAGAGACTGAATTACACAGTGAAAAGGAAAAGATCAATATAGACACAAAGAGAGCGGAAGGAGGGACTTTGTAGAAAACGAAGCGTTTGAGAGAGGCGGGGCATAGAGGACCTACAATAATGTACAGTATTTGAAAAATTATGTGTTTTTTGAACATTAAAGCATGTCAACATATTCTGTTACACCAAATACACAAAATAATGATCTTTAAAAAAGCATCATATGACCCCTTTAAAGCTTACATAAAAAGAGCTATTGAATGGCCATGTTTTTTGGACAACTATTTAAATGAATATACACTATCATTCAAAACTCAGCCTTTTTTAAAATTAATCTATGCTTTTATTCAGCAAGGCTACATTAAATTGATCAAAAGCGACATTAAAGACATTTTAAAATGTTACAATGTTTAAAATGTTCAAATGTTTAAATAATGCTGTTCTTTCAAATGTTTTGTTCTTTCTCTTCATCAAAAAAAAAAATCAAGAAAAAAATGATTATGGAGTCCACAAAAATATTAAGCACCACAACTGTTTTTAACACTGGTAAAATAATTAGCAGTGTTAAATAATGCTGTTACTTGAACAGCAAATCAGCATATTAGAATGATTTCTGAAAGCAAATTCAGCTCTGACTTC